ATATGCAGTATCTATTTTTAGCTATTAAAACAGGCACTACCTGGGTCTAGAGAGCTACTTTTAAACATACAAAATATGAGTATCTAAAATGATTATTTCAGTATGTCGATGATGACTTCAGTTAAAGAGGTTAACTGAAGTGTTGAAATCTTTAGCAGCTATTTACTAAAGTGTTCAAACTTGGGTAATGTCATTCTGATGACTTTCAAATCTCAAAGGTGACAAATACTAATAGTCCCTAGTATATGTAGTATAAATTATTCATACATTATGTAATTATATATTATATTAATAATATATATAATGCATACAGTAAACAGTCTCTCTCCCCTTTCTTTCTCTTCCCCTGTACTCACACTCTCTCTCTCACTCTCTCTCTCTCTCTCTGTATACTCAGAAATAATAGCTCTAGTAACTTTTTAAGTTGTTAAGATACTTCATTTTATGCATATGTATCTGTCTGCAAGTCCTCAGATTTGCAAATACAAGGCTGTGGCACATTCATCTGACTGTGTGTTACAGGATATCAATCTTCTGCTGCCATGATTGACACTGTCTTACCTCATTTGCATTGCCATCTTAAGTTTCTACCTATTGGTGATTGCATCCTTCTGTAATGCTTCTGCTGTTTGACTGGACTCTAAGTATTTAAAGGCTCTTTAACGAGGAATCTGTTCAAAACTCCAGTACCTACCTATAGTAAACTGAACTTCTATGATATCTAGGCTAAGACAACACTTGTTTGCTACTATCAGTCAGTGAATGTAATGAAGAGAACTGCTCTGTGATTCTTCTTTGGTAATTTCTTCTCTCTCTTCAGCTACTCAGATCTGGCTTGGGGCTGTATCGTGTAGCTTTATTACATTTCATTTTACCATTCACTGGTAAATCCCTTTCTAGTTTCTAATCGTCCTTCTGGTCTACTTTCATTTGGCTCAGACCCACCACTGCCAACTAAAACAGGGCACACAAATCTCAGTTTATCCCTACTCAGTCACTGTCAAGGGCACTGAACACCTCTCTAAATTCTCAGGTTGACTATCACTTTATACTGTTTTCTTCTCTGCTTTATTCCCCTATGATCACATCTACCATCAGTCTTAACACTTGCTTTTGCTCTGCAGCATGGCCTATCACCTGTTACTATAGATGCCTCCTGGTTGGATTCTGAGGTTTTAGTGGTCCTCAGCTGGGCTACACTCTGCTACCAGAAGACCCTTGCTTGGGTATCATTTGTACTATAGGACTCTGTACCTAAAAATTAATAATGGGATGAAATATGAAGTCTTCAACCTGCTTTTGATGATTTATAACCCCTCTTAACCTCCTCCTCCCCCTCACCCCTTCTCTCCAGTTACCAGCCCCATATTTTCCCAATCTAAAATTCCTATTCAAACAATACCTGATTTCTTAGTGCTTACTTCCTTGTGGCTTGCTATTTTCAAAGTGCTGCTTCTTTGCAAATGTCACTCGTTTCCGCTGAGGTACTCTGTCCACACCAGCAGTGTCCCTGTAAGCATATACTTCTAAAATAAAAACTCTAAATAAATATTTTATTCTAAAATAAAATAAAAATGAAAAATAAATTTTCACTTAAAATGCTTTCCTCATGATTCATCTTCCCAACTCAATATGGCTTAAGCATATATACTCCATTTGTTTTGTTGTTTTTTTTTTCTGGTTGCTGGCCTTCGTATGTTTTTAACTGCATCTTAAACTGATATTCAGTCACTTCCAAATTCAATGCAAACATCTTGAGGGCATAGGGCCCAGCATGATTTGTCTCACTTGCCATAGTATCAATATATCCACTTATGCAGAATTCAACACTTGTTATTTGACTCCTCAACATTGTGTCCTGTCACAGCCAACTCTCACTGTAGACAGTCAGAGTTTCCAATAGGTCTTCATGTAGTCTTTGCCTATCATCTGCAGCCACACAGGAAGAAAACTGTTCTTCCAGCCACACACAATTTGGTATTTTCACTGCAGTTTAATTCAGTTATATATTAAGCCACTGATAGGTACCCAGCAAGATACCAGCTGTTCCAGCCCAGCTATCTTAAAATTTCTGTATGCATCCAACTCTATTGAAGAGCTCATCAAAACCTAAACTATTG